ATGAGATAGACGTGATATTTCATAATTATTTGTTTTTTTTACTTATCCAAATGACCCGAGGAGGCCTGCATCTAAATTATTTCTTAATTTTAACTTTCTTACCTTTGTCTTTATCACTCATAACTTTGCTAATTTCCATAACTTGAGATTTTCACTTTCCAGTTGTCTCTTAAGGTTTGAATACGCATCATTTGGCTTATGTCTATGGTCTTAATTTTCACGAATATGATTTTTATGTATTGTCATCAATAGCTCTGGCTACTTAGAATTCGTCCTGATGAAGTATTTTTTGAATTATTTGTGCACTTTACATTTAATTAACTCTATATGTTTTTTTTCTGTCCTGATTCCTAGCAATCTATTTTACGTCATTTCGTCTTGAAATTACTGCACTCATGTGCATCAGTTACATATTAAATCCTAATTAAGACAACTCCAGTCTCATGCTTATTACCAGCGAGATATGATTTTCTTTCGTCTTTCTTACTATCATACATTCAAACTGCATTATTACAACTTTTATTCTTTCGTATTGGTTCATCTTTCTTACTTTCCATTTCTCCCTTAAAGACAACTGCGTGCCTGGGCCAATGAGCTCGGAGTTCAGGCTGCTCGAGTTGCTGCCATGGCACGGGTTCGCCTCCAGACTTATCAGATTGATGAGCCGCCATTGCTATGGCACCCACAGCCATCCACTGGAGCCTCTGAGATTACTGGTGGGGCTAATCAAATAGGAAGTGAATCTGTCACAGCCCGAACCAGTGGTAGTTCGTCAACTCTCGATCCTGGGCCTGCATCCCATCAACAGATACAAGCGGATCAGTTTCACCAACAACAGCACTACGCTCAGCAGCAACAAGAAGTCCTTCAGCAGCGACATCGGCAGATGGCTATGTCTGGCCTCTGCGAAGCCACAATTCACCAATTAGCTGATTTGGCTGAGGTTAATAATGCTGATGCAGAGGATTTCGCAGTCCACCATACGGATGAAGATGGGTTTAAGCCTGTTACCCTTCCAGCTATATCAGGACTTACTTATCCCGAATGTGCAGGCGACCTTGATCGTCTCATATCGGTAGGACTTTATTCTTACAATTCCACTGATAATTATTTTCCAATGTTTTGGCTAGAATAATGGATAGACGCCAACTCCGTTTGGTTCTTAATATATTAGTATTTGAGTAGAGTTTCGAGACTACT